TTTCTTTTTTTAATATTGTACAAAAAATTATTTCTTTTTTTGCAAAACAAAATTTGTTGGTTAACAGATTATAGCTGGTAGAAATTATAAAAAAAAAAAAGGTGACGGTTATCTAATTTATAACAGTAAGCAACTGATGTTTTTGAAGACAAAAAAATTGATGATGTCAAACCGTACAGTTGCTTTGTTGAATTTGTTGCTAACTAAATTTTGCTGTGATCAAACAAATCCATCTTCTTTTCCTCAGTTGACAATACTATTTGGCTTGAAATTATCAGTTTTTTTGATGAGTCATTCTGATCACTAAAACCGTCTGCTGTGATAACTCTACAATTTGAAGTCTACCAAAATCTTGTCCTCATTTCTAATTTTGTTTTTTGATCGTTTTATACAAAAAATCTAGTTGCAGAACATTGGGGAAGTAAATAGACTAAAAAAAGTACAAAAAAAAAAGAGTAGGATTATTATATCACACAAAAGAAAAAGGTTGATTTATTCATTGGCATATCGATAATTTTTTATTAACGTCAAATCACAACAGTACAACAACTTCTAACAAAAAAGGAAAAAAATAGTGGTTTTCAAGAGGTCAACAGTTGTATTGCTGCCCACCAGTCATCTGTATCCGTAGTTTGTCCCCTTCAACAACCCAGTTGTCATTTTTAACGTTTTTATTATGATAATATTTGAAACTGAGCATCTGTTTGAAAGCTTAAACTGATAAAAAAATATTTTTGCTTAAAACTGGCCAAAAAACCCTAACTAGACGCTGTGAAAACTCCTCCAAAAACATAACACTAATTTATTTTAAAAGTTTAAGCAATTCTAACCAGCTATATAAAAGTGTAAAAAACATTAAAGTTCATTATAAATCAATACATTTTTCAACAAAAAGAAGTAGAAACCTAACTACTTTGCTGCTAAAACTGACAGTACACGAACAGTCTGTGTTTCAGTAATCAAAAAAAAAGTACCAAAGTTTAACCTTCTTCTTCCTTTGTACTCAAAACTGCTGTCGCCTGAATAAAAAAAAAAAAAAAGAAAGAAAAAAAAAAGTTGACGAGAAACTAAGGTAACATTTAGAAGAAGAAAAGAAGTATGCAGTATTTCAAACAATTAAAAATGCAGAAATGTGAAAAAAGCAATTTTGTTGTTCACCGAGTAATTGACAGATTTATTGTTGTTGTGCATTGAAATATAAAATCGGATATCGCAAAACGTTTAATGTTGCTATAAGTTATAGAAAACAAAAAAAAAAATTGTCAAAGGCAGAAATAAATGAAAAACCTAGAGGAATAGGTTGACAAGAAGACAGGAGGAATAGTGTTAATAGCGATAATTGAGGAGAAGGAATCAATAACGATGATAAATTTCCTATGCAATTCTCCTTTAATGTTTTATTAGCAACAAAAGCTTTATAGGTGTTGTTTCCTATCATCATCACCATCACCATTCACCACCACCACCACCGCAAATCACTGATAACACAAATGTGTAACAGTCATTGTTGTTTAGCAGTTCAAAGTAACAGTTGANNNGACTAAAAATAATTTTGGTTTTTTATCCGGGTTTCCATTTTTTTTTTCCTCTTTTTTCTTTTTCTTTTTTTTTTTGGCTTGCATAACACCTATTCAACATTTTCAATTCAAAAAAAGCGCTATTTTTTTAGTTCTTTTTTTTTTT